TCGCTCTCTAGCAACGAGAACCGCAAAAGAGACACAGGATCCCTCGAAAGTCCTAGTGGACACTCTCTAGAGTGAGGACAAGATCCTTGTCTGACGGGTGAAAATGGATAAATACCACATGAATGGGCAAACCTAATATAAATCCCTGGAGGTCCATAAAGGATGACCACATAATATTATCACGAGACCCAATGATTCATGAGAAATCGGTCGGCCTATCAGTTAGCCCAGGGAGAGTCAATCGGTCAGGAAACTTAAAATACTTTCCGGCTGCGGGCCGACGGCGAGCCAATATAGTAGGTCATCTAGGGACGACTCTCTCCCCGCTAGTGACAAGATTCGCAAAATGGGAGCAAGAGTCGCCCTAAAAACCCTGGTCATCATCCTCTCAGGTAATGACAGGATTTGTGCCAGGAGAAAAGGTGAATTGGGGTTAATATCTACTTAAAAGGTGACACGCTGTTCGCACATGGGGGAAATAAGAGTTAACCGACAGAGGCACTTCAATTTAAATCAATTTCTCGGAATCCATAGGCCTATCTTAGAGCAAGTCTCTAAAGGGGCCGATGATAAAATTAAAAACTTCACAAACAAAAAATAACAAAAATAATTGCAAGAAGACAAAAAAATTTTCTTTTCATTAATGTAAAGGAAATATTACTAGTCTTTTCGCACGATGCTGACAACTTCTCAAAAAAAAAAAGCGGGCAGGGGGGGGGGATTAAGTAGTCTTCATTTTTGTAGGGTCCTATCGGAGGACAGACTCTTCCTCGTTTCCTGAACTATCCTCCTACTTGGGATTCTCTACCGGCTCATCATGGGTTAAAGCAGAAAGCTCCCTATGGTCAGAATACTTAGGGTCGGTTAAGCCACGATGAACAAATTGTTGAATGGCATAGTCCACTCCAAGCTTTATGTACTCCGCCCGACCATCATCAAATTGCTCACTGGAGACCAATGAAGTGACCTCTTTTAGCTTGATGTTTTTCTTCTCCAGAGCTGCTATAGCACCAGGGATTCTTTGTTGGCCCTCACAGACTCGTCGAACTTGAGCTTCAGAAGGTCTTTGTCATTGCGAGCCCTTCTCAGATCCACCTTTAGGGAAGCTTGCTTTTGAGTTCCTTCCAGGGACTTCTCCACCTCGAGCAGGGCCATCCCCAGTAAATGGGCGCTCGCGTCGCCATTAATTGCCACAGGCCCACGTTTTGGAGAAGCTCTTGGCGACCGAAGCCCCCCCATAGAGTGGTCGAGCCTTCCACAGTAAATTTAGCAACGCCGGAGACAGTTCTCTGTTGGCATCCGTCTGCGGGTACCATTCAAATTATGACTTGCAAACCAAGTTGCTTGCTGACATCCTCTCATATCCGTCCGACGCTCTCGCTCTTGGGCACGAGCTCCCACACGGACCTCCTCTTTCTTTTCATGGGAGGGGGTGAAGCATTTGCTTTCTCCATCGACTCCTTTCGCTGCTGACATACCCTTGCACCCTCACGCGAGGGCAGAGGCTCACTCTCGGAGGATGAAGTTGGCTTCCTCGACAAAGAACTAGAAGACGAAGAAGGGACTGCCTGACTCGCCTTGTCCCTCTCAAATAGAGAAATGAAATAAGAACCACCGACCCGAGGATTTGGCAGAACGGTAAAAGTCAGCGACTTACTAGCCTGCATGCCCGCAACAGACGAAGAGGGAGCTACGATCACGACTCTGTCTGGGGTCCCTTTCGGAAGCGGGCTCCTTCTCGTCACCTCGCTCTGCATTAACAAAGTGAGAAGAATGTTTTCGAGGCACAGCAGTGAACTTGCCAGTAACCTGGTTCTGAATAGCAAGACTATGAGCAGACATAGTGACATGGTATTTCTCAGTCACATTGTAACGGAGCAGATCCTCGTCTCCTACAAGGTTACCTAACTCTGAGGGACGATTTTGTTTCCGATGCTTAGTAGCCAACTTTTCCTTCCCCTCCCTCGCTCAATCACCTTCAACAATATCTGAATCACACCACAGCGGTTCCGTCATCTCACCTGCTAATGCACTAGTAACTGTCGCCGCTGCAGTATATTGCGGGACCGATAGATAACGGCTGATCAGCATCTCCCTGGAGATGTCTATGCTCTTTGGAAAGACTTCAACTTGGATATTGAACATCCTGTCAGTGCCGAATCCCCCAATTATCAGAGCAAGAACCAACCAAGTACCTCTTCTTCCAATCCATTATTTTGCTCTCCATCCCTTTCAAGTGAAGCTCTTTTCCCGTTGAGAACATGGCAAAGCCCTCCCTATCGACCTTAAACAAGAAAAATATTTAAAAAAGTTGATATTCCACGGGATGCACTCCCGCCGACAGAAAAGAACGAACAACATTATTGTAGCTATGGAGTTCGACATCACTTGTGACGGAATAACATCATACGTGTTAAAAACACTTTAGAGCTTAGTACGCAGAGGCAACCAAAGACAGTATTTGAACTTGTCTTGGTAAAAAAAAACTAGATCATTACCCAGAAGGTCCGACGTCCGCGTCAACCTCGACAAATTTTGAAGGGTGATGTTGTCCTGAATAACATACCTACTCTGAAACTCTTTCACTTTGTTTTCCATTAAGGGTCAGTGCCTTTCACGGAGCCAAGAAGTGTGGGAGAATATTTTGGGGCCATTAAAGAAAATTGAAGGTAGCTGAAAGGGTGAGACCAGAAAAGATGGAAAACTAAAAGCTCAGATGCAGAAACCAAAATGCGTAAAGTAAGAAACAACAATCCCACACCCTATTTATAGGACATACTCGAAAAACGAAGCATCACACAAGGTTGAGTAACATATTTATAGGACGGACTCGAAAAACGAAGCATCACACAAAGATGAGTAACATACCAAATGTTTTTTCAAATTTATTTAAATGACTTTTCATTTTCAAATAACATTATTACAGGTTAAAATAAAACGTTTTATGAACAGGCCATCTAAGGCCTCAGGTATGATGTACTTTTTTTGAGTCAACTTTCGGAGGACTATCACCCCTCCTATTCTAAGCTCTTCCATCCTGTCGACTTTGCGGTGGAATTTGGACAAGTTGGTTGACTCCCAAATCGCTCCCAACTCGCGCAACACCTCGGCCAGGTCATCCCGCAAAGCATCAACCTCCGCCTATAGGGCCACCACAACTGAGCCTAGGAACACCGTAGGGACTGAGACCTTTTGTTGGTGATTGGCGACAAGGCCTCCGATTGATACCTTCGATGAGCCGACCCTCGTCGCTGAGGGCCCGACCCTTCCTGTCTGTTGCCCCACGACTCCAAGGGGATGCAACCGATGCTCCTTTCACCCCTGACTAGCATCATCAGAGATCGAAGAAGCGGACGACTGGTATACTTCCAGAATGGCTGTCGGTAGGGCTCCCGTAAGCTGACTTGCAGATCGGCTACGACAACAGCGAACTCCGTTGCGTCTTTCGAATGCATGCCATCCTGGTGACCCTCTGACTCAGTCAATGTATCTACATATGAAAAATGTCAAGGAAGAGTTAAAAATCTGCGGCGGCCACAAAAAAAAAATAAAATTGTGTACTCATAAATCGATCCAATGAAGAAATGGTCTCCAAACATCTTCCCCCCTTCCTCTGCTGCGAGGTGCATTCACCTTCCAGTACAGCGACTGAGGGGGTATTCCAATCTTTGTTCCCTTCGGACATTCTGCGCCCCCCACGACACCTTCAATAAGTAGGGTCTGTTGGCCCCCCGAGCTTGCACCCACGCCCGACTTTGGAATGATTGTCTCCTGACGAGGATCTTTTGATATTTTGCCCCTTAAGGTCTACATATGAGCCAACTTGATCAGTCGGAGCAGGTTCGGTCCTTAGCCATTTTTCCTTTCTGACCTTGATTCTCTTTGTAGGAGCCGAAGGCCCTTAGCCCATCTTTGCCAGAATCTTGGGTTTACATAGAGTTTCCTGAGATTGTTGGCCATGATTTGAATCAGGTGATCAGAGATAAATAACGACAACATATGCAATATAAAGCCAATGACTCTATTTATAGAGCACACTAGGCACAAAATCCAAGAGAAGTTGATTATTAAATAGGCTTTCTTGATTTTAGTATCATTGATACTAATAATTTCTCTGTCCTTATTGCGGATGTCACTTCTAAGGAGCAGGAAAATTTGGGGAATTACTATATATACACCATAACTGTCAACACAAATCTCGAAGCATTTACACAGCCTAGATGACGGTCAGAAAACAAAGTCACCCTACCATACACTATTGCACAATCGGGAATCAACCTACACATCGCGTCAAGAGATTCAAGGGGCACATCACACCGACAATCCTGTCTGACTGGAATGTAGGGAGGAATTCTTGATCGCGACTGATCAATCGACCTGCCTTTGCCGCGGCGGATGGAGTCTACATTTGACTGGGCACCTCAGCTGACCAATTCATCGCCTGGTTGCCACTCAACGGGTCACTTCGGTCGGTTGAATTCAAGCAAGCTGGCCAACCGATTACCGCCATGCTAAAATTTAAATTGTAATACAAATATGGTATAAATCCATACAATTAATGAGAATATTCACTTTATTAATAGTAGTTTCCATAACCATTCTCTATTTCTTTATTTGTACAAAATACACATCTATAAATAAGGGAGAAAAAATACAAATAAAGGGACTATTTCAACAGGCAACTCCTAACAGGATATACTCCCTCTTTCTCTTCTATTCTCCTTCGCTCGATCCCCAAATTCTCTGGGCATGTTCACAAAACGATATAAAATCCAACAAACTCAAATATTATCATGGAGACTTGTGTGAATGCATTTAAATGAAGTTATTGAAATATTCATTTAATTTTTATTCCAATATTTTTTCTCATTCAGTAATTAAAAAAAAAACAACTTCTAATACAAACTGAGTTTCTTTATTAAACCAATATTACTTGTAGTATTGTATCAATCAGCAGTGTTACAGCATATCACTAATTGCATATGCTCTCCCTTCATCAGATATGGGCGCTCTACGAGAAAGGTGAACTTGAAAGCATCATAGATGCATCACTAGGCAGTGATTTAAATACTGACGAAGCCCACAGATTTCTCTTAGTCGGTCTTCTCTGTACACAAGACTCACCCAAACTCAGACCTTCCATGTCCACATTAGTCAAGATGCTTACTGGCGAGGTAGATGTCATGTCTCTTCAGATTACAAAGCCCGGCATGATCACTGACTTCATGGACGTTAAAGTAAGGAAGAAAGGTCAACAGCTTCCTCCGAATAAGCTATCTCCCATTGTCTCACCTCGGCCTGCATTCCAGTTGTGATTTTATAGTGTAGAAAAATGTATACTGCACTGAAAACTGATGATTTTCTCTTGCATGAGAGGCAATCTGTTTGCTATTTTTTTGTCAAACTGCATACATTCAAGAAATATGTATGTCTGTACATAGCATTCATCACATAGAAGCTATAGATATAAAAGAAAATTGGTTTTCAAGTTTTTCGTGCCAACGGCTAGTAGATTTTTCTGCAATACGACGTGTTTCTTTTGTACAATGCATTTCTTAGAAATTTTTGACTTGGTAACTAGAGCACAATTTTGTTTAGTGTTTTGGTTTCCTTGTCTACTTGGATGAGTGCTTTTGCTGATATGGCTGATGAATAAGAACTCATGTCATGATAGCTGATTTTTTTTTCCTGTAACTTCTTTCCATTTAAGAACGATCTATGGATAAATTGCTCTGATTTGTTCTTGCTTCAATATAAAAATCTGTTAACTTTTTTGATCGTACAATTCGACGATGCAACTTGGCCAACAAAGTTTTGCTAGTTAGTCCGACCATGGGGATCAGTCCCTCAATTCGGCGAACTGGTTTAGGAGATGAATCGAGTCAGGACGGCTCTAATGAACCTAATGTTGAGTTCTTCTAGAGTCCAAAAAAACCCATCTTTTTTCTTATAGTCAGATAATAGTATACTTCAGATGTCATAGAGGCAGAGAAGATGATTAGGCTGGTGTGCTACAAGGTCAAATAGGATGACTTGGTTAATTTGTGTGTCGTACATATGTATCATATGCATAGGCAGCACACCTAACTATATTCATGTTATATTATGTATAATGTACTTTACATTTTTTTATGTAGCGATATATATGGCTTGTCACAGACGAGCTTGAACGGTAGATAGAGCTAGCCAAAAGGAGAAAATGAAGACAGACGAACAATAAAAATTTTAAAGCGTTTCCTCCTTTCTCAATTTTGCCCTTTTCATAGGGATCTTTCTCCCCCTAACACAACCCTTTTTTTGGGTGGTGTGTATCTATGAACAAATTAGAATCAAACATCCGATCAAAATGCCATAGACTATATGTGAGGTCATGCTCCGAGCATAATCGAATCATAGAGTACACTCCATTAACATGGATTGCACGAAGTAGTTCATAAGTAGCAAATGAATGAGTTGAAGGAGCGGATGGCTTTAACGATAAAAAAGGCTTTGAAGCATGCCTAAAGAGGGGCATCAAATGCATGGTAACCATGCAACTCTCTCGAATTAGTGGTGCTTAGAAGAACAGAGTCAACCATAAGAGGAAGAAGAATCTTGTTATTTAGTTTGGTGGAGGATGAAGATGTTAGAATATATTACTTTTATTGCACACTGAAATATTTTTGGTGATAAAATGATATTTTAATGACAACATTGCATGAAGATCCAATACACATGCAAATAAAAAAAAAAAAAAGGGAAAAATCACAGATGCTAGCTCAGTCAACGTAATCTATTATATGTGTGTAAGTACAAATGTACTCCCTTCTCTCACGAAAGAGAAAATGGGGTTACAACTTTACAATAAAAACTACACTCAATTTATATAGCTTTAAAAAATAAAAGTGTTAGAAACAATAACCATAGTTTTATTATAATGGGTGTAATGTAGTGTTACAAATTGAAAACCACAGAAACACCTTTTCTAGATATCTGAAGCAAAATTACGAGCAGAGAAGCACAAATAAAGAAACATACAAAACACAATGAACACTAAGATTTAATGTGAAAAAACTCAAGAACGAAAAACATAATCACAGGGTCACACCATACCAAGAAATTGACTAAAAAAGGAGAAATTGTACAAATTACACCACACTCGAACCCCTCAACAATCCTAGTACTCGTGAAACTCATTTCTTTCTTTCACACAAGAGAACTCACAAAATCTAACTTCAGCACACATGCATTTTTCTAGCCTACTTTTTTGCAGTAGAAAATGAAAGACTTTAATCCCAAACAACAAAAATTTTGTTATAGGCTCCTTGACCATTAGCAACGAGTTTTTGAGCATTCTGGTTCTAAAACTAGAAATGTGGTATACGAGCGCTAGAATACACGCACAGGCACTAGAGCGCCAAACCAGGTGTTGGAGTGCTTAAATTACAGTGCATAGGCATTGCCCTTAAGCACAGGGGTGCTCAATGCAAGTGTTGTGTTTGATTTCTTGGACACAATTAGTCTGCACATATAATAATCTTTTTCTTGAAGACTGATTACAACAAATTTCTTTTCTACAATTATATACCATCTTCATTGTAATGTATTGTACTGTGGCTCAAATCCGATCTCAGCCTTTCTGAACTCCAATTGAAGTTGAGCATAAATTTGGTTTCTCAATTGTAACAATCTTAGTCAATATATTTGCAGGATTCTGGGTTGTGTGCATCTCTTTCAAAGATAATTGACCATCTTCTAGGATTGAATGAAGAAAAGCAGCCCCCACAATATCCTTTGTGTGCCCTAGGTCATGTCGAAGCTCTACTTATATAGCTCTTGCCAAAAATTTCATGGAAAATCATGCACTAATAAGAATGCGGTTGACATTGGTGTAACTATGCCAGTGGTCGGCATAGTTTAGTCGCACTCAGCCTTGTTATGCCATGTTCCATCATAGATATGTTAGATCAATAGTGAATTTGGTTTAATTATGACAAGGTTCGGCTAGTTATGCAGATACCATAAACCTAATGACTTCTTGTTTTGATTTCATGACGTGAGCTCGACACCTGTAACATACAAAATATCACAAAAAATTTCCACGCGTGTAAAATCATAATACATAGGAAAGAAAATATGATATTTAAAGTGGATAAATTATGAAAATTTTTATCCTATCAATTTCTCCTAACCACTCATTACTTGCCCTTAAGTAATCTCATATCTAAACTAGGACTCAAATGATGTTCGTAGCTCTCATGTGAAACTTCTTGATTCTCTAGTAAGATTACAGTTGTGTAGTAATAAAAAAAATGCAAATATCATTTCGGGGTTGTATTTTCATTAATTTTTAATAACCTGAACATTTTCTTTAATTTATTTTTTTTCTAAGCTTAAGCTGATCTTAAGGCTTCTAATCTGATATGACTGAAATATTTCCATTTTTGAAAGATATTTTTAAATCAATTAATAGTCATCTAACCACCCAAAAACACTTTTTTCCTTGAATATACTATCAAAAGAATTTTATTAAGAGAGTTTTTAAGTCTTATTAATTGAGGTCTTATATGTTAATTTTTTTTTTAATTTTTATGCTCACCTCAAACTTCTTCTTAAAGGGACTGATAGCTTGTTTTGAATTTTATTTTGGATCATGCTTTAAAATTTTTTTTTTTCTTGCTTCTTTTTAACCCATTCAGCTATTTTTTATAAGATTTTTTCAATTCCACTTTAAATTTCTAATATAGTTCAGTCCATTTCTTTTAATTATTTCAAATATCTAATCTCTCATAACTGATAACTTTTAAATGTTTCTTAATGCGAATTTTGTCATATTATAATCCATTCAAAAATAGACTCAATTAAATTAGTTGTTGAAAATTAAAAGGCTTAAAGTATCTATGATTAACTAATATTTTAATTACATATTTTAAATTATTCTGAGACTTTTAGGGTTCTGCTAGATTTTGTTATAATGACAAACATAATTATTACAACATTAATTCTAATCCTTCATTTATGTGTATTCACAGTTCTAATGAAGTCATTATATAATATTATTAAATTACCAAGATTCCTAGCATAAGTGACCGCTTTAAAGTCTAATCAACAACTTAATTATGAGAATTACTTTAAAGCAAGTATATATTTATAGCTCCCCTTCCCCAAATTTATTTTCCACCTCATGCATTTCACAAGAAAAAGAAAAAAGAAAAAAAGAAAAGAGCACATTATGTAATAATATGGAATTTAACACCAAAAATTTTAGTATAATAAATAATAGCACAGGGGTGGTGGATAAAAAAAGTTTTTTTTTATTGTTATTGGGGTTTTGTTGTTGTGTCTACCATAGATTTTGAAAGATTTCTATCTAAATGATTGGATGCATCAACTTAAGAGTAATATGCTATCACGAGAGACATAAATACCTTAAAATAGATATAATCATTCAAATGAGGAAAATCTTTAATATTCATGGGTCTGTATAACAAAAAAAAAAAATTCTCTACCTTACGGGTGTAATGTTTGATTTATTTTATTTCGGGGTTTGATATTCTTATAATGGCAGATCCTTATAATTAATTTCATCGTCAGAGTTGTGAACCCCTAAGAATACTCTCGTTTAATGTATTGACTTATATTATCCATGATTACAAGATTGTTGTCTTCAAGATTGATCTTATAAGACTTCAAATGGATAGATTGAAAAGTTTATTCTTTAAAATTGAAAGGTTGGGATGTAAGTTCAATTATGATATGTCATGGAAAGGCCATAGAAAAGGGTTAGCCAACCTTGAGAGGAAGGCATTCTCAGATGATGAAAATTGTAAGTTAGTTGAAAAGGTTATATTTTGATTTGAAGGTTGATTTTGGTTTGAAAAGCATGCTTTAGATTTGTAATTGAGTTGATTGATTTGAGTTGAAAAGGTCTTAATAAGTTTTGACTTAGATGGAAAAAAGTTTGGTTTGGATAAGGTTTGACTTAAGCTAGAAAATAGTATTGGTTAAATAAGGTTAATTTGAGTTAAAGAAGTTTTATTTCAAAGTTTTGAATCCTAGGCTAAGGTCAGGATTGACTGGAAAGATTTTTAGATAAAAGTTAAAACCCTATAAAACTCCTAGACTTTACAAGGAGGCTAAGTAGTTGAACTAACTAATTTTTGGTATAACACATCCGGTCAAGATGTCCATGGCTTTCTATCATCTCGGGTTCATTGATATCCCTAGAATATTAACCAACCATATAGTTTAGTGGTCTCCACATAATACCATAGCTATGCTGAGTGTAGACTTTCCTACAATTAGGTGGTTAAAAATGCCTTTGTCAGGAATCATTGGTTACTTCATCCTAGGGTACCTACTTAGCCTTAGGAGGTTAGTTGGTTGTTTTATATGGCCTAGTCCTTAGCTCTAGCTAAGGGTACCTAACAATCTAACTTAGGCTTCTAGAATGGACAATTCTAGGGAATGTTTGATCATGGCGGTAATATTTCTATGTTGGTTAACCTAGGCTTCATAATTGATATGCCTAGTTGTGGTTTC